CCTGGAACTGGCTATATAGACCAGAACTGCCTATGTCTCTCAAGCCCTGGAGATTTGAGGTGTGTACTACCATGCCAACGCCCATTCAATTTTAGTGTCAGAGGCTATGAATCAATGTCCTGACAAGCACTTGTTTTTCCTCCTATGGAGTGCTGGGGATAGACCCCAGAGCCTCAAGTATACTAGGCAAATAACTGTGCTGTCACTGAGCAATGAATCCCCAGCCCATCAGCTTGATTCTTGACTGAAAAGCTAACTGTCTTAGTAACTTCTCTATAACACTAAACTTTGTAAAATCTTCATTACCAACAAATGTACAGCCTAACTAGATTTCAGAACTTGGTTTCAAATCTGTTTTACTACCTAAGTTACTATATAATTTTGAAGTCACTTCTCCAAATAAATATCTTACAGAAACTGTTAAATCACAATAAAAGTTACGGGACAAACTGCTGTAAGAATCAGATGAAAAAAAAATAGCAGTACTTAAACTTTTACAAACACACACAAGACAATGAACTTTGACTATATAATGTGAATATGAATTTTAAAGTTATTTCTGTGTTGCTATTCAACCTTGCCACTAAAAATCTGCATAACAAATTTTCCTGAAGTAGAATTAATTAGAGCAGAACTTGTTATTCCTGAAGGCTTCTTCAAGTGGCAATCGATGGACAAGTCTTTATTATATTCACAAACTTTCTCGACATTTAAAAGATTAAAGCACTTTCTTCCTGCTTTCATGGAGGCATTGGGAAGGGGCGCTTGAAGGATTAAAAAAATCTATACATTTCTAAGACAAATACACAAGTGATAGATCACAAAAATAAAAGGGACAGAATTCCTGTCGCTTTATGCTTTTGCTTACTTATGTTTGTCATTTACAGAGAACACCCTCAGAGAGACAGAGGGGGAGAGGGAGGGGTCCACAAAGAATAACCACTTATTGCAATTACATTATTTATAGTTGACAAACATCAGCTATTATGTGCTAAATTTCTAAGACCATAACCATCTAAGGGTCCAATTAGGAAAGCACACCAGATAATCTTAAGTGTCCACTGACTTGCTCATTCTGCCACCTTACCTCAATTAGGTTATTACAGAACTTAGTATGTAGATCAAACTGGCCTAGTACTGAGAGATCTTCCTGCCTCTGCCTCCCAAGTGCTGGGATTAAAGACTTGCACCACCATGCCCAGCTTCAATCAGGTAAAATTTAAAACTTCTAATTTAAAAGGAGCCTCAACAAAATGACTAAATACTAAATTTGAAAATATGTATGAGAGTCAAACTAAATATTTCATAACATGAAATGAGCTATAAGAAATAGAAAAATAAATATATATAATACATATGCATATACATACATACAATGAAAAAATGCAATTTTAGGGTTTGGCTAAAATTAGTACAACAGTATTGTTATACTTTACAATGTTTTCAGAATTTTAAAAGTAATAAAGTAATGCTTCTGCAGTATATAAAGTTTTAAATTTGCCTTCCAAGTGCTACTAGCACTGAAACCTATTACTAATATCTTTTCAATTAATTTTTAAAAAACATTTTTGAATTAACAGAATTAAGTTTATGTCTATTTCTTTATCATCTACCATTTTAAGTGTTACCGTTTAGCAAATCATTCTTTTAAGAATGAATTCTTAGGGCTGGAGACATGGATCAGCAGTTAACAGTGTTTGTTGCTCTTTCAGAGGACCCGGCATCCACATGGTAACTCACAATTTTAACTCCAGTTTCAGCGGATCTAAAGTCCTCTTCTGGCCTCTCCCGGCATACACAGACAAATACATGTCAGGCAAAATGCTCATGCACATAAAACAAAAATATATCAAAGAAAAGTGTTTTTTTAAAGAAAGAATTCTTAAAATATTATCTCACTTGGCGATTTCTGACTTTGCTTTAAAAAGGACTAGTAGGAAGCGGAGGTGAAGTAAAATGGAAAAGAGTGCGTTAGAGTGTGAAATGCACCACACTGAACTGTACACTGATGAATGCTAGCAACAGCAGCTTCCCCACAGGACGTGGGCCTGAGAATTAACTCCTGCATCCCTCACGGTCCTGGCCAGCAGCTTCCAGATGCTAACATCATCATCTAACTTAGTGTACTTAGTGTGAATGAAAGTTGAGATGCACTGGCAGAATGCATGACAGCAAAGTCAGGCACAGTAGGACAATCTGTAAGGCCAGGACTCAGGAGACTCAGGCAGGAAGAGGTCAAATGTGAGGTAAGCCTCACCCAGCAAGAACCTATTTCAAAGAATGAAGATAAACACATGAAAGCAGGCTGGGCAGTAACGACACACACCTTTAATCTCACCTGGCACTTGGGAGGCAGAGGCAGGCAGATCTGAGTTTAGGGCCAGTCTGATCTACAGAGTTCCAGGAAAAACAAAACAACAAAAACATAAAAGTAATTATAATCTCAACTTTAAAGTCCATATTCTCTAGTTAGAAGTGAAGATTCTCCTTACTTGGTTTTACTCATATAAAAATTATTACATTGTTATCAAGTAATCAAATCATTACATATGTACAGTATATGTTTTAAAAATTCAGCAGCTTAAGTAATCTCTTCTTTAGCAATAATAATATCCTCTATGCTAAGATATGGAAATCTAACCTTATCTAAAAATACTTGCCGAGTTAATGTACACACTTGATCTCTTAGTGCTATGTTTAAGTTATTTTGAAAAGAGCTAACTTCTGCTGTAAACATGGTCAGAAAATAAACTTTGAGCAAAGATACCAAAACGAAAACCACACCAAAGAGTGAGTCTGCTATGGAGCTGAGAGACAGTTCAGTGGTTAAGAGCAAGAACTACTCTTTTTACCCTATATAGCCCTGGCTGTCCTGGAACTCACTCTGTAGACCAGGCTGGCCTCGAACTCAGAAATCCGCCTGCCTCTGCCTCCCAAGTGCTGGGATTAAAGGCGTGCGCCACCACCGCCCGGCGAAAGAACTACTCTTGCAGAAGACCCTAGTTTGGTTCCTAGCATCCACACTCAGCCGCTGGCAAGCACCTGTAACTCAGATCCAGAGCAGGTGTGGCCTACACAGGCACTTGCACATGCACACACCCACACATAGACAACACACACAATTAAATAAAAAATAAATCTGTGTCAAAATGCTACTATTTCCAGGAAAAATTATCAAGATACTTTGAAATACATATAAAAAGTCAAGATTTAACTTTATAACAGAAAGGATTGGTTCCCACTCTATTCAGACAAAAGACAGTAGTGGTTGAGGCATACAAACAGGCATAAAAAGCATTTTCCCCACTGCTCAAGACAGAGTAAATTCCAAAAATACCAATCTCTCTTACAAACAAATCTGCCTTTTCCAAATACTTGAAGTGTAAAAGCTAACCAGCTCTCCCGCTAAATACAATCACAAGTGTGGTGAATTTTAATCTTCATTTTTAGTCTTAAATAATGCCTGGATCTTAAGACAGATCATCTTCAAGTGTTCATAACAAATAGTGTCTTAAAACAGATAAAAATCTTAAAGCAATCATATAGCCCATCCTCTGTCCAACTGGTGTTCGACAGTTCCTTTTTTGGCCTCAAATGACGAAACTTCTCTAACGTCTCTGGGGAGACTAGTAAAGTATAACGTTTCCTGAAATTGTTCTTGTTTCGCTGCACCATTTCGTGACACCCCTTCAACTAGAAATGTTACTAGCAGTTTTATTCTGCAGGAAAGGCCAAAAGGACAAGCAAATGTAGAAAGAATACCATAAGGAAAGAAGATTTAAAGAAGATACAGGGAATGGGGTGAAATGGATAAGAACGAAAACCATTTCTAGCACAGAGAAGCAGCAACAAGGAGACCTTACTTATTCTTCTAGAAACAAAAGCCAAAAATTCTTCTAAGGAAAATGCGGTTTCTCTCTTTACTAGAGGATGTTAGAACTCCAAAAGGCGTTCCGCTGACACTCTACAAGAGTTCTACTCTCTCTTCCTATGTGCTTTAACACCGCTAGCCCTATCTGTAAATTAAACGCCGGCTATAGATAATGCAATCTCTAGAAACTACAATTGTGGTTGCCATCTTTGCCCGAAAAATAAAATCATTTTTCTTGGATTTGCAAGGGGGAAAAAAAGGAAGACACTAAGTTGGAAGGTAAGAAAACCACTGTCAAGTCAGGTAGGGCACGGGATAACAGACGTCTCCCACCAAACTAAGATTTTAAAGGTCTGGGAAAGAAAGGCAAAGGAGCCACGGCCTTACCGAGTCCGCAAGGGTGGGGCATCGTAAGAAAAAAAAAAATTAAGAGGGCGAGTTTCTGTCGAGGCCGAGGAGCAGGCCCACTAACTCGCACGCTGGGTGGCACAGGACGCTGGGGACAGGGACGAAGGGCGGCTTCGAAAAAGAGACGTGGGCTGCCAGGGAATGCCCAGAGTACGGGCTGACAGGAGGAGGCACCCACGGGGCACAGGATGAAGATCGGAGAAGACAGAGCAGGAGCCCGGCGATCAGAGGCTGCGCGTGGGAGGCCGGGCAGAGGCCGCGGAGCACCGTGGGCAGGCGGCCGTCCTCGGCGAGGCGCTCTCCGGCTGCCCCACGCTCTGCCCGTCTCCGGGCGCTCCGACCGCGGGCAACCGCGGCAGACACAGCTGTTTCCACCCCGCCGGGGAGCGTAAAGGGAAAAGCATCCCCGCGGTGGCCGGGGAGCCGAGCGGCAGCGGTCCTCGCGCAGGGGCGCGGAGCGGAGCCCACACCGCGGAGCGCACGCCGAACTTCGCCCTTTCTTCCCCTCAGCCGCCTTTATGCCACAACTTCGCGGCCGCCGACTGTCCCCAGCCACCGGCCGACACCCACGCTCAGCTCACCGCCTGACGATTCCTGACGCCCCGAGGTCAGGGAAGGTCGCCCGGAGCCGGGTCCAGAGGTCCCGGACACCGCCCCCGCGCCGACGCTCGCCCCGTCTTGGCGGCCCCCTCGCCCTCCCCGCTGCAGCAGCTCCGCTCACCTGCATTGACGCCATGATGAAACCATCCCCCCAAGGCCAGCGAGGCCCGAGACGCAGGGGGCGGAGCCGCCGTGCTCGCGTCACGCCGCGGGGACCCAACATCCCGGGCACGGGGGCGGTGTCGCCGATGGAAAGGGAGCCGCGTGTCCGATTGGCTAGCGCGTGTGCCCAGGGGCGGGGCGAAGCGGGTGGGGCGGGGTCGGGCCGGGCGCCTTGGGTACCTTGCAACCCAGCCAGTTTACTTGCGGGTCCACCCTCAGTGATGGCCCAGGTGCTGCTCAGGGTTAGGCTGGCGGCGATATGCCGAGGTCAGGAAGCTGTCTGGACCCGCAGGCATTTGGCGTGGAGGGAATCAGATTTTGTTTTTCTAGCTACAAGTGTAAGATTTATAGTAACCTTCCCCCCGCCTCGTATGTCCTTTTTACACCTACCGCGTTTTCGCTCCTGAGCCAGATACAACTTCGCCTGGAGACGCTTTCTCCTCTTTGCAGATGTAGGAAGCTTCTACTTTGAGGGGCAGAGTCACAGCTTTTCCTATAGGACAGAATGAAAACTGAGAGCAGGGGCAACGCTGTGATCTTAAAAGCAAGAGCAATTGGATTTGTAGCGTTGAACGACTGGGAAGGGAAAGAGGGTGAATAATGGGAGTTCCCTTTTGTGTGCACTTTTCTAGTTCCCCAACCCTCTAAATTGTAAAGTCCAGGTATACCATAATAGTCATTGTTACATCAGTCTAACTTTGATTAGCGATTTGACTCTAGCCGTGAATCTCAATATAATAATGTAGTTCACGTTATAATGCCTAGATTTCTCTTGAGCCAATTCTATGGTGGGCAGTTGCATGATCAGACGACCTATGAGTGAGTTTGAGTAGGAAACGCTGAGCATACAGAGTTTATTCTGGGAATACACCAGTTCTGCCAGCATTTATCAGAAGTCACATTTTTAAATCTTTTACGGAACCGAAGATGTCGTTTGGTATATAAGAGGAAAATGGAAGCCAAAAGCTTGCACCTCATGTCCTGTCTCTAAAAGAATCAAAGAGGATAACATGCTGTGTAGAAGGCTTTTACTTTATCCGAATGAAAGTTTAAATCTTTATTTTTATTGACTTGGCTTCATTTTTAGACATTTCTCTAAGATATAAATATAATGGTGATGTAGGTATCACTCTTCACACTTAAGATAGATCACGATGTTCTCTGGGAACATCCGTGAGGAAATGTGTTCAAAAAAGGAAAAGATCTTTAAATATGCCAGTTATTCTATGGTGTAATATTCAAGATGGTTTATTTTCACCATGGAGGAACTTCTTCATGGGGGTTTGCATGACTTGGAATACAAGAATCAACCAGAAGCATATCCGGTGTCAGTTCAGTTATGTCGTTACCAATACAGCATGAAATAAAGCGCTCACATAGCCCAGTGAAGGAGGTGCGCTTACAGGAAAGGTTCTCAACCAGTCCTTCCTTTGTCCCTGTGAACTCAGGTAGTAATGCACCAGCTAATGTTCATGTTTAAAAGTTGATTGTTCTCAAAGGTGTAAGTGACAAAGGAAGACTCCACAAACATGGCATTATGACCTCATCAGAGTAAATAGCCTACTAGGCAAGGTACTCAGAATGGAGAAAAGCAATTAGAGGAATTTTGGTGTTGCTGACAGTAGAACTAATGTCTGATATTTGCTTCACATGTGTTCAAAGGATCTTCACAGAAGGCAAAGTCCTTATTAGTCACATCCTAGGAAATTCTAAACAGCTCATAACTACCTATTGTCTTTATTCTTTCATTAATACATAATAGAGGGCTGGGGTATATAGTTCACTGGGAAAGCCTGTGGCTAACATGTAGGAGACTGGGATTTGATCTCTCAGCATGGAAAGCAAAACAAAAGGCAAAGTATGTAACAGAATGTTCCTGAAAAACTCAGGAGCAAAGAATGGTGTAGAGGCTATTTTCAGTGTGTATAAGTGTTTCTAAAACCCTTGACTGCCTGTTATTTGATGAAGATGCTCACATTTTTTTCTCAGAGTGTGGCTTATTAGTGGGTATAACCACTTTAAAGTGCCTGCTAATACCAAAAGGGGAAGAGGAAGCGAATCTCCAGCAATAGGGTTGGAATTGACACAACCATGTTAGAAAAAGGCTCAGCAATGATGAAGTAAAAGTTAGAAAATCTTATAAAAAGCAGTATTTGCGATAAAACGTAAGTAGCATAAAATGTAATGTTAATTTCACTTAGTGATTGAAATGAATTGTAAAATACTTTTTTAAGACAACTGGAGCCAAGTAAAAATAGAATGGATATGAAGGAATTCTTATTTAGCCGGAATTATTCTTTGGGTGGGTGGTGGTGCAGAGGCAGGTGGATCTCTGTGAGTTCAAGGCCAGCTTGGTCTGCAGAGTTCCAGGACAGCCAGGGTTACACAGAAAAAGTCTGTCTCAAAAAACAAACAAATTAACAAAACGAAACAGAATCATTCTTTATATAAAATTTAGTAATGGTATTCAGTTTTTAATTTCCACAGTAGAATGTCTATCAGCTGGCAAGGAGAGGCAGTTCTTCCTCATCTCCTGAACCATCCTCACTTCCATCTCTGGTAAGAAGAAACAGGAGAGTATAAAATGTGGGCAGGTGTCTGAAGTCTACCCTCAGGGCAAGGGAAAGCCTGAAATAATGCAGACTAGGATAGGACTACATGTTCTGACTGGATGGAGGAAATGTGAGACCCTCTAGTAATATTGGAGGACCCACAAAATGACTACAGGGCATTGCTGCAATGTAGTTCATAGCTGTCTTTGGTCTAGTGATTCACCAGACCAGAATTAAGAAGTAGTCTGCTTGGCAGGCAGTGGTGGCGCACGCCTTTAATCCCAGCACTTGGGAGGCAGAGACAGGTGGATTTCTGAGTTCGCAGCCAGCCTGGTCTACAGAGTGAGTTCCAGGACAGCCAAGGCTATACAGAGAAACCCTGTCTCGAAAAACCAAAAAAAAAAAAAAAAAAAAAAAAAAAAAAAAAGTAGTCTGCTGAGACTTTGCTTACTGAAGTCTGAGGAGGCAGAGTAGAGGGTCTTCTTGCCTGAGTCTGTCTCCAAGGAGCTGTTCATGGTTGATCTCACCAGAGAAATGGAAGCATTCAACACAAACAGCTCACTTATTAGAGGTTAGAAAGGGCATTAAATGAGAGTTGCATTCTCATCCTAGCCCTGTTGCTAACAAGTGTAGAGAAGACCTGTCATCCCCACAGTCTATTTCCTTATTAATAAGCCAAATTGCATAACTTTCAAGGTTTTTTCTGGATTTCAAATTTTGTACAGCTAGTAAAAGAAATAAAATTTCATGTATTTATTTATTTTGGTTTTTTTTTTTGAGATAGGTTTTTATCTTTTGTAATCCCAGCTCTATATACCAGGCTGACCTCAAACTCTGAAATCCAACTTTAACTGCTGGGATCAAAGATGGGCCCCATAACGCCCAGCTTTTGAAAATTTAAATTTTACATACTTAACTTAAAATATCATTTTAAGGGGCAATAGTTCAGAGATGGGGTATTCTTGTCTGGCATTCTCAAAACCTGGGGTTCCATCCACAGCACCACAAAAAAAACCAAAAACTCTAAAATACTGTTGGGGTGTCATTTTGAGCTTTAAATCACAGTAAGTATATTAAAGAATTAACTTGGCTTCCTTCTAATTTATGGAGAAATATTTGGAGTCTTAGTGGTTCACTGCAACTGCCTAGCACCCTTGAAAAGTATGGTAAGTAACAGGCAGCAGTCATACGAGGAAATGGTCAGAATTTGAAGTTTAGCCTCTAGTGCATATGTATGCTTTCAGAGTATGATAAAATACAGAAACAGTGGTTGAAACAAACCAGAAACTACCTGAATCCCATTCTTTTCCCTGAGCCCGCGACAGCTCAGCTCTGTAGCCCTTGTGCATAATCTGTGCTTATTTCTCTCTTCCATTTCTTCAGCTCTGCTTTTAGTGATTGTTTGAAAAGGATGTGCCAGGCAGTGGTGGCACATGCCTTTAATCCCAGCACTTGGGAGGCAGAGACAGGCAGATTTCTGAGTTCGAGGCCAGCCTGGTCTACAGAGTGAGTTCCAGGACAGCCAGCAGTCCATCAAGCTCATAAATAAAGCATTTGTATTGTGTGTAAAAATGAGGTGAGTATTTATCTTCATATCCACAGGTAAGTGTACTCTTCATCATCATCCAGGAAACTAATCTTTGCAACAGACAAATACCATTGCAGAAAACAACCAATCAGAGTGCTAAGTTGTACAACCTAGCCTAGCTGATCCATCTACCACAGAACTACCCCTCATCTCAGATCCAGGGAATCATTGCACAAGAGAGGGTGTGAAGCCTGGAAGAGCAGAGGATCAGGAAATTTGCTATGAGGTTGTGTCTCTTCACAAATATCAAAAATATCAGAGAAGCTGTGACCTTGAAGCCTCATCAATACTGCTTCAGAAACATGGACCCAGAAAAGTATGACACCAATAGCCATGCTCAGGACTGGGGAAGGGGAAAGGCCTCAAGCCTAGACAAAGAACTAGAGGCAACTAAGGAATGCTTAGAGACGGAGAGACAGTCTTTTAGGGGGAAGAGCAGACCAGTTGGCACCCATACCAAGTAGTCAGCCCTGAAAACATATACACAAGTGACATTACACAGACTCAGCAGGTTGTATTTTTATATTTAGGAACACATACACGCACAGACACCACCACCAACAACAACAAAAAAAACAAGCCATGAATATGAACCATTGCAAGAGTACATAGGAGGGGTTGGAGAGAGGAAAGAGAAGAGAGGAAATTATATAATTACAATCTAAATACTACTAAATACTAGGGAAATTAAAAAAAAATCTATTGAGGGCCAGTGAAATGTCTCAGGGGTAAAGGCACTTGCTACCAAGCCTGATGACTTATGTTAGAGTCTCAGGACCCACATGTCTTTCCAATAGGTTGCCCTAGAGCTGTACCAGCTCCCAAGAGTCTCACAAGCTGGGACTGAGCTTCCACTCTGTGGACTTTT